TTTTTTTTTTTTTTTTTTTTTTTTTAAATCTTTTATAATTTGATACTGAAGATGGATTTCAATGTCTTGTAGCAATTGAAAATTTAAAGGCTATATTTTGCTATTTTTGCATATACCGACTTCTTATTTAAATTCTATCTATTTTTCCTGGAAAGCATCATGTTATGGTGAAAATTTGTTGAACTAAAATTTCAGGACTGTGCTGTGGGGCTATTGTTTGCTCTACTTCCAGTTCTGGGTGGAACTTCTGGTATTATGCAAGGCGTAATGTCCATGACAAAATCGTAAGTTCAATCTTACTCCTTTCTCACAAGTACAAGCTAGATTTTCTTGGAAAGGGTGAAATCTCCATCTTTGTATTCTTCAGAATATTTGGAATGCATGCTGATTAATGTGTTACCAGGTTGGTGGTGTTGATTGCTTTCTTGGCAGTATTAACGATATTGTCACGCACATGTGTACCCTGGTGCCTAAAACTTATGATAAGCTTGTCATCCCAGGTACAAAAGAGGTGTACCGCCACCCCTTACCCCTCCCACCCCTCCAAAAGAAAAAAGAAAGAAAGAAAAGTCATCTCTTTCAGTTCTGTTCATTTTTAGTTTGTTAATTTTTTAGGTTTAGATGTGTCTCTCATCACAAATATGCTGCATATCTGATTGGTCAAGCTTATGTGAATTTTGTGTAACCTTTTCCAGACTAATGAGCTTTATCAATTGGCGTCAGTAGCTTTTTGCTTACTCGTAGCCTGGGTTAGTTTCTTTTCTTTCTGCACATATTGAATTTGACTTCACTTTCAACATGCATACCTACATTGTGTTCATATACATTAACATTTTCAAGATTGTTCAGTTTGCCTTTCTTCTTTTTGATATCCCATGTCTTGAGACGCATTTACACAAATAGGACAGCTCCTTGTCAATATTTGTTATTTCAACTCCTTTTCCTTTAGGATGATCTAAACTGATTGTACCAGTATTTACTGTCTGGTATGGTTTCAGTGTAGTGACAAGCTCGGTCTTAGTTTAGAGTTGGGTTCATTTGCTGCTGGAGTTATGATAGCAACGACTGATCTTGCTCAACACACGCTTGAACAAGTAAGATAACTTTAGAAACTTCCTTTCCGTTATTGGAGAAATTCAACACCTTGTTTATATGGGCATTGATATTTACATTTTAGAACTGTTACTACACATTGTCATTGTGTTAGTTTTTGTTTCATGACTATTTGATGAGTTTTTGGTGCTCTGCAGGTTGAACCTATTCGCAACATGTTTGCAGCTCTCTTTTTGGCTAGCATTGGGATGCTGATCCATGTTCATTTTCTGTGGAACCATGTTGATATCTTGCTTGCATCAGTTATATTAGTGGTTGTCGTTAAGACACTTGTAATTTCTGGAGTTGTCAAGGGCTTCGGCTACAACAATAAAACTTCACTTCTTGTAAGATGTTACCTTCTTTTATGTAGCTCATGATAATATTTCTTTTGCCTTTGTTCTATTGCGCATGTTCAGTTTTCTTTTCATGAAATGAACTAACAATGTAGCCCTGATCCTTGAACCATAAAGGTTGGAATGTCTTTGGCACAAATAGGGGAATTTGCCTTTGTACTGCTTAGTCGTGCCTCAAATCTTCATCTTGTTGAGGTAAATACTTGAGGCGTAAAAGTTGAACAACAATTTTACTTTTGCCTCATATATGTGTTGGATATGAGAGAAAAGGCCTGTGTTCTTAGCTTCACTTTTGCCAAATGCCGGTACGGGCAACGGTTTTGAAAGCCCTGAACCGACCCGGAAACATATTTGGCGCGGGTTGAGGTTCTGGCCCGGCCCGGTTCATTAACAAAATAATTTTAAAAAAAGGCAGAATCGCCAGTTCCGGTTTAGAACCGGCCCGACAGTTCAAAAAATTATAAATATGTGGCCCAGAACAGGCCCAGTCAAACCACGGGCTTGGTTAAAGGCCCATTGACCACGGGCCCGCTGGTCCGGCCCGTGGCCATGTCTAATTATGTGCGGGTGTGTTGAAAAAATTGATTTTGTTATTATTTTTTTTCTTTCACAGGGGAAAGTGTACCTGCTACTTCTTGGAACGACAGCTCTCAGTCTGGTAAGAAATATTGTCTTGCTCTAGTTTAATTTTGTCAGGCTACTGACAAAAACTATCTCTAGAATGTAGGCTAATGATAAGAATTTCAATCATATTAGAAATTACAAAATCCTGTGGATAGTTTTTATTTATTATCCCTACTCATTATGTGTGCGCGTGCGCACAAGATGTGCTCATATGTACGTCACATGCCAATTGGTGATGTATTTTTTTGAACATATTAACATCACCAATGTGTGCATGCCATATAAGCGGTGGACATATTAACATGTGCCCACCGTGGGTAGGGGAGCATTCTCCTATAATATATATATCTCTTCTATGAGTTAATTTTATTTTTTTTTATTTTTTTTTTTTTTTTTTATACTTTTAAAGAGGTAATATTTACATTTAAAGTTTTACAGGTAACCACCCCATTGCTTTTCAAGTTAATACCAGCAGTTTTGCACCTTGGCATATTGTTACGTTGGTTCTCGCCCGACATTCCAACTGAGGTAATCACTAATATGATCTTTGCACCATCTAGCATTCGTGTCCTTGCTATATAAGATACTAGTTAGTTATAACCACCTATGAGGACCGGTCTAAATAATGCCAAAAAGATCCAACTTTGTTGAACAGCCTTGAATTTCATTCGTCTCTCACAATTTGCACCTTGAATGGTGATGTCTCCAATTTTGAATTATGATTTAAGTTTTGACGGTATTATTTTGTGATTGACAATACAACAATATACTCATTTGCCGAGTTATTCTTCAAAATTGACAGCTTGGATTTAAAGGAGATGGTCTGAGATCGGAGAGTACTAAGCAGAGAATCGGTTTGATATCCAAGGATCTTTTGATACACGAAGGATGATGATGATTAAGGTCAGTTGTAATGATTCCACTCATTTTACCTTGGAAAATAGAGACCTTATTTTATATCCAGCCGTGCGATGCTCATCATTGAGACTCGGAGATGATGGCGTTATCGAGTTTTTCAGTTCTCTGCTCCTCTTTTTCTATTAGTTTCTGTGAACCAATTAGTGAAAGACACAAGCTGTGATGATACGAGCATCAAATTCAGACTCTCTAGGAAGTAATCTAACTGGTAGAGATACTAACAATTGAAGCACTTTTTTTTTTTTTTTTTTTTT